ATAATGCTTAATTACCAAAATTATTCCAGACGTAAATGGTACGTCGAAAATAATTTTCGGTAATCTCGACTAAAATGACTGAATTAATTTAATTCCGGAAATAATACCTGAAAATATTATTATTCCGGAACTAAAAACATGACTGGATACTCCTGACTAAATATTTAATTCCGGACTCATTAATTTAATAAACGAATCGGAATTAAATCTGGAAACTTATCCGGTTTACTGAAATAATTAAACCGAATAACATATCGACTAATAGTCGAACATAGGATATGACTGACTGATCAATCTGAACTTGAACATGAACATGATTATTTATTAATAAAGGCTAGCTTAAAACTGAAAGCTAGTATTTCCTTTATTAATAAAATACGGGGCGTTACAAATACCTTCATGGACTTCTTCAAGAACGCGTCGGGCATCAGCTTCCGACAAGCATTTAAGTAAAGGAGTAGAATACCCACGTTTATACAGAGTTCCATGATCGATAGTAAAATGAGCAGCACGAACACGGAGGGCACGAGCTTCCTTTGGATCATCAGGTTCGGCCCAAATTTGAAGATATTTGATGATAGGATCCATCAATGTCGGATTTTCAATAGTTTGAGCAAGGTCGGTCATAGAGACGTCGGTAGCTGTTGTTGAAGACGTCGTCTGTTGAGTAATTTACACAAATTCGATGTTATTCAAGTCGGTAGAAGAGGCTAAGCGTGATAATGCATCCGCTTGAATATTAGATGTTCGGGGTATATGTTCCAACGTCATCTTGAACTTTGACAGCTTTTTCTTGGCAAGATCAAAATAAGGGAGCCATCGAGGTTCTTTGACTTCATAAGCACCATTGATGTGACCAACGAGCAGTTGAGAATCGAAAAATATTCGGAGTCAAGAAACGTCCATGGATTAAGCAAATTGTAAGCCTGATAAGAGAGCTTCATATTCAGCTTCATTATTTGTGGCTGGGAAAGTGAATGCTACTGAGCAACAAAAAACTTGTTGATCAGGGCTAACTAAGACGATCCCTCCCCCAGCACGCATGGTGGCGGAGGATCCGTCGATATAGAGGGTCCATGTTGGGTCTTCGACCGACGCGTTTGTCGGTGAGGTGAATTCGGCTATGAAATCTGACAACACCTGAGCTTTGACGGCAGTCCTTGGTCGATATTGAATGTCAAACTGTCCAAGCTCTATAGCCCACTTTATCATTCTTCCCGACGTGTCAGGTGTTGGAACCCACGAGGATCTCGATATGCACAAATCACGGAGAAACATTCAACATAAACCTATGCGCAGCGGATCTAAAGGTTTGATGAAGAAAACTTACTGCTTAAAATTTATGTAGATCTGGCTGGCCCGGATAGTTGACCGCAAATCAAATCTTCTCGGAATCGAACAAACTTGACCAATCCGGAAAGCTGACGTCACGGCGAAGTCAACGGCATTGACCGGTCGGAAAACGATGCTTCCACGCGCTCTCACGCGCGCGAGTGATATACCAGCAGCAGCTCCTCTCGGTGGCGCGTGGCGGCGCGTGTGACGTCGGACGGCGGCGATCTCGACGGCGATCTCTTCGTCTCGTCGTCCTGGTCGTCGTGGTATGGTCACTTGCTGGTTTTGGTCTCCGGTTTGGATGTATGATTAGAATCTCTATATACCTTAAGATCTTCTACTGTATTCTCAAACAGCTTTCTAGATCTTGTATCAGTGGAGCACAAGAAATAGAACTACTCCTTGGAAGAGAGAGAAAGAGAGCTGGACGATTCCCAAGGATGTGGGATTGTTCTTTTCTCTTCCATGAGCCTAATGCTGTATATATAGAGCTACAGTAGGAACCCTAAGGAGAATAGGATAAGGGCTTCTAATATATTAATACTGTGGAGCAACCCCACAATTAATATATTAATAATATTAAAGTCCACCACAATAATATTATCGCACTCCCCTCACCTATCCCAAATTACATTTGAGACTCCTTATTATAATTATCCGATTTACCTCCCCATGTTTAAGATTTAATGTCCATTAATTTATTCGATCACTAATAATCAAGAATTAATTAATATATTATATTACCGAAGCTAGCGCTCGCTCATAGCATTCATATTATGCCGGAATAAATCCACCTGCAGGGTTTAGCATAATATTCCTTCATGAACTCACTTCGGGGACATCATCAAACTAACGCACATGGTGACCGTAAATATCCTAATAGCACATCGAACACATAATGTTATTACCCAATTAATTAAGTATGTCGACCCGGCTTGGATCTCACCCAAAGAATCAAAGCAACAACAATTATGTGCACATGCCTATTTAATATCTTACGGGTTAAAGGCACGCAATAATTAACCGAGGCCTAGTTCGTTTACGACGATTAGTATAAAACGAA